TAAGGGAAGTGGGGTGGAAAGAGGGTGGGATGGTTTGGGGGCATAAGGGAGGTGGGATGGGGTATAGAGGGGTGATGGTATAGTGGGGCGGGATGGTGGTATTGTAGGGTTGGGTGGGATGGGGGCCTAAGGGAGGTGGGGTGGTGGTATAGTGGGATTGGGTGGGGGCATAAAGGGGGTTGGGCAGAGAAGGGGTCGGGAAGAGAGGAGGTAGGGTGTCAAATTTAACTCACACCTACCTCCGACAAGTCCAAGCAAGGACACAGTGTGCAATGATGACTTTCACATACGTTAGAGGTTTAAGAATACCTGTGTGCGTGTGATCAACCCCTCTCCACTTTGTCTGACAACGGTATGGAGTTGTCTTTTCTTTGATTACAAAGAAAACCTGGCCTTCTTCTCTAAAATGATCTCCTTTCACCTCTTTTCCTGCTCTCTACAATGTTTTGTCGTCTACTTACGACTTCACTTTCTGCCCCTACGCCCTCACCTCCTTTACCCCCTCCTCGGGCCCCTGACTCTTTTTGTTGTCTTTCAGCCACACCCTTAATCGTATGGTAGGAAAGATCTACACCTAGCCTTCTAGGACCATGGCGAAAAATGTCTGAGGTCGCGCGTTCAAGTTGCACACGTTAAAGATCCCTTGGTGGTCCAAAATCGATAACAGTAGGCTCCGACCACCACCAGAGCGAAATTTCAAATTTCCTACCAACTGAAATTGTTTAATATAATATGTGTCCCGCGCGCTCATATGCAATTGTGAGCGCCGTAAAACACTTACCAAAAAAAAAAACCAAGAAAGAAAAGAGAGAAAGTGTTAATCGACCCCTCTCTACTTTGTCTGTAAACTTTCTTGAGTTTTTGTTTTTTCTTTGATTGCAAAGCAAACCTGGCTAATAAAACATTATTTGTGGGTGGTTGGCGGGTGCTATGGTGTGGTTTGCTCCTTCTTTCCTATCAAACATCTATCGTCCTGGTCTCTCCTCTTTCTTTTTTTGTATTTGT